TCGAAGTGTGGACGAGTTCTACAATCTCAACAGAATTATACTCCGTTAAAGACTAGACATTTCCTAGATCTTGATGAAGATGTTTCCCTCAGTCGAAGACCTGACCGGTTCTTAAATCTCAACTGAATTATTCTCGGTTGAATTACAGATAAGGTTCTCAATCTCGACAATTGTCCTCCGTCGAAGTGTGGACGAGTTCTAAAATCTCAACAGAATTATCCTCCATTGAAGACCATACAGTCCTAGATCTTGATGAAGATGTTTCCCCCCAGTTGAATTATGGACATGTTCTTAAAACTCAACAGAGATGTTCTCTCAGCTAAGGTACAAGCAAGTTCCTAAATCTCAACAAAGATCAGGATTCCCCAGCGGAATCCTCCACAGCAACAGATATACAAGTTCTCGCTAAGGAATCTCTTATGCGATCGACACTCCTGCAGATGGCATCTTTAAGCCCATCCTCCCGCTAGCAATCTCCAAATGGCATCTGTAAGCCCATTCCCGACATCACAAGGCTGACACCACTTCATGCGAGTGCAAATTTCTGGGCACTCTAGTGTTCAATCATCTTCTACCTTCGGATCACGAAAGGCACGAAAGCCAATCTACATCCTCAGGTTTAAGAAGATTGAACAGGGGCAACTGTTGTACCCAAAAAATTTCCCTCTCCTATTTCTCAAGACATTGCAAAAAAAGTCTCCAAGTGGCTCAAGGTTTACTCAAGAGTAGGTCAGACAAGTCCTCTTCTAAGACAGTCTTTCTAAATTAGGGTTTTGTGTTGCATCAAGATCCTTGAATCCAAATGACCTCAAGTGACCCCCAATGTCCTAATATGTTCTTAAGATCATCCATGTCAAGTTTCAAGCCTTGCAGAGGAAGTTTGCTCAGTCAATTGCTCAAAGGGTCCAAAAATCGACTATGCTAGGGCAAAAGTCAACTGTGACCCAAATACAGTCAAACTTCAAGATTTTTTGTCATTATTCTCATTTTGAAGGATATTTCATCATTTGATCAAGGGTTGATCATGATTCATCAAGGATTGCTCAAAATTCATCAAGACTCAAAAGTTGCTAAATTAGGGTTTTGTAGGAAAAGTCAACTCAACTTTGACCAAGCATAACTTTCTCATACTTTATGAGAAATGATACATCCAAATCTCATTTTTAAGAGTATGAAATTTCCTACAATCCATCTTCATTCCCCAAGATCAGAAAAAGCACTCACAAGAAGTTATAATTATGGACATTATAGGTCATTTTTGAAAGTCAACAAAAACACCTTTTTTTTTCCAAAGCTTATAACTTGAGCATGGAAAATCAAAATGATATGATACCAAAAGGGTTGGTTAGAGGACATCTCAAGCTTTCTAAAAAGTCACAGAAAAACCTCCAAAAGTTCAAAATTGAAGAAGTTATGCATTGTTGAAGTTGGACATTTTTGCAAAATTGCCAAAAGTCAACTATCCCCAAAACATCAAATTTTGTCAAATGGGCCCATTCTTTTCCACTTGATTTGGGCTTGCATCATTGCCCACGTGTCCTAGCTTCAGCCATGAGCCCATATCTTATTTTTATTATTTAATTTGATTTTTAATTGAATTTATTCACTTTAAATCAAATAAAATCATATAAAATCAAAAGTATTTATAACTCATGATTTTTTGGTTGCTTTAGGCTTTGAATACAGCTATTATGTGAATCAAATTTGCATCAAGTGCATTGGTTACAAGAAGATATGATTTAGGCCAAATTTAGAAGGTTGTAATGGTGGAATCAAATCCAATTCATGAGCATTGATATGGAGTGATTTGTACCAAGTTTCTTACCCTAATGCAATATACATTACATAAGGAAGGCAAAGGCACGAAAATAGGGGTTGGAGGCTGCAAGAAGAGGCAGAACAAAGTTTGAAAAAGTCACCAAAAAGCTTGAATTCGAAACCATAGCAAGAGGCAATTTCAGAAGCTTAGACCGGTCTCAAACGATTCCTGGGTGTTCACTCAGTCTACCTGGATCAAGAACAAACATTCTCAGACCACCTAGCACGCTGCAAGTATCACGTTATCTCGCTCTGTATTTGAAATCATAACTCACTATTCTTGCATCATTTGAACAAATCATTGATATATTTGTGATCTTCATAATATTTCCAAGCTTTTGGCATTAATTAATTTTGTTTATCTGATCTGTAAAGCCAAATACCATAGCTAGGGTTTCGTGTTTTTTTTGGGTGTTTCTCTTTCAGGAAAAATTGGCCATCAAGAAGGGTATGGTTGTGACCGGGATGATGAGACGAGCACAACCATGCCCTTAGAATTCATTTTCATGGCTTACAGAGATTTTTGGAATGTGCATGACTTATAGTGACGGTCTGTGTCCGTTGGTATAAGTCTGGAATGTTTTAGCCACGGACGTGAGGTAGAAGACGAAGACGTGTCACACCATCAATGGCCAGTTCAAAACCACGCGCGCTTTTTACTTTTTTGCTGGCATATTGACTTGTTTTTTATATTATATATTATTTGTATAGTATTAACAAATAAACCAAGTAGCCTAGTGGTAAATGTGTACATCCATTAGCCTACAGGACCTGGGTTCGAATCCCAGGTCCCCCACTTTCTTTGTTATTTTCATTCTTCAGGTAATTACATGCATATTCAAGCGCGCAGAACACCATACGCCTTCACATATCCAGCTGCCAGATAGCCCAAGGTCAAATCTGATGGCCAAGAATTGATGGACCACCAAAGACCAAGTCAGCACATGTACGCTGGACCAAGGAAAGTCAAACGAGGCCAACATAATTGGGCCTTCAGCTTGCTATTCTGACCTCCAAATTCAGGCCCAAACCCCCTTACTCTCTCCTATTTGTTTTTTTGTTTTATTTAATTGTTTATTATATTTTATTTAATTACTAACCAATTAAAATTCTGTCTTTTTTTTATAAAATAAAATCACAAAAACATTTTTTTATCAAATCAACTTTTAATTTTGTTTTTATTAATAAATACTAATAAATTAACTTAGGTTTTATTTAAAATAACTTTAATTCTTTTTTTAATAATTAAAATTCAATTAGATTCAATTAGGTTTTTGCTAACATTAATTAATTTTTTATTTCTTTCTTAAAATATCAAAAACCCAAAAAATAACTTTTTCATTTAATTAATTAATTTAATTTAGAATTTATTTCTTTCTTAAAATGAAAACAACAAAAAAATATTTTCTTTAACAAAAAGGATCAAAATCCTAGAACCTCGCACTTGATTTAATTTTCCGCACACGATTTATTTATTCAATATTGTACTTGCTCCCGGATTGTAATAGCTTAATAGAATTTTTATTTATTTATCGCTTTATTTATTTTTAAAGGGTTTGTCTTTGGCGATGTAAATACTCGACGCCTTGTAATTTAAATTCCGCATTTTATTTCCGCAAAATATAACTGTTAGATGTTTGATAATATGAATGCATGACAAGACTGAATGTTTTAACCTAAAATCAACTTAGATCTCCTTTGACATGTACAAAGATAAAATAACTGAAAATAACACACCCGCACATGCGCACTCTTAGGGTACACCCCACTTGGTTGCCTTCGTACGCGGTCATTGAGTATATGTCACTTTAGAGGTCGCCCTCTTGTCTAAAAGATCATAGTCGTCTCGAAACGGTCGCCTCAGATATTGTTGCCTCAAACAAATGATCTAAGACATTAGGGTTACCGCTAAGGCGTCCTAACATTGCTTTGGTGACCGTAAGTCCCGCATTCGAATTGACCCTAAAACTCCAACGACGATGCTACCTACTCATCAATAGTGGGATAGCATTATCTAAAGGAAGATAACATAGAACGATTCCTTTTTCGAGTAGGTAGATGGTTCTTAAGTACTTGCTCATTTAAAAAACAAAACCTTTTTCACACTTACACTCCTTTTCAAACAAAATTTTCAAAAACACTTCATTACACTCTTGAGGACAGAAGCAAGAGTTAAATCGAAGTTTTCGAACAAAAACTTTTTTCAAATCCACAAGCACAAAGAAAACAATATTTTGAAAACAATATGAGCAAATACCTAAGAGCCCGTGGATAACCACAGATAGAAAGGGTGATAACACCTTCCCTTTCTATAATCTACCCCCGAACCCGAGAAATATTTCGAAAAAGGAATTTTTCTGTGCTTTTTTCCTTTCCTTGTTGGATAAAATAACAGTCGGTGGTGACTCTTGTTTACCGCGACATTTTGCGAATACAAAACGCAAAACGCAAATCAGCATTCTAAAAAACAGTCAGTTTTCCCCACCGTATCACATAATCCAATCTAATTAAATTAATTCGAAATGTACATAGTTTTCCAAACCTAAAACATGCATGAACAAAGTGCTAAATAAACAAATCAATCTTAGTGCCTATTTTATTATATGGCGTGACAAACTCTCCTTATTATCCTTATGAGAGGGTTTCATGAAGGGAGAAGACGACACTAGAATTTGTCACATGCCCATACTTAAATCGCCTTTATTCGAGCTTCTTTATTTAAAGATATCTCCTCTTTCTAATTTCATCTAGTTCACATCAAATAAACATGTGAACCATCAAAAAGTAGTTGCTTATCTATCCTAATTGAAAAGTAATTTACAAAAATATATAATTTTCTAAGCGATGTACTCTTAACATGATTTCTTCTTTCTATCTAAATCATGATAAAAATTTGTCTTATGCCACATAATGAAGATGATGTGAAAATTTAAAAAAAGTTTTACTGTTAAAAGTTTGAACTAATTAGAGAAGATAATGATTTAAAAATACAAGTACCGTACGCATGAAACACGATACGCCCGAATCTCAGAGGTCCCACAGCAAGCTAGAACGGCATCACAGCGCAGTCATCAAACATATCCCAACCGCCACATCAGTATTGTGTCAGAATATGCAATTCAATCCACTGTTCTTCTTCTAATTCTTCTTTTTTTTTCAGCTAGGGTTTTTATTCTGTTTCCATGGCCACCGCAATTCGAACTCCGTTCTTCACTCCCACCGCCACCACCGCCGCACAAAATCAGCCTCTCCTCCGTCTCCAATTCCCCCCTTCCTCTAAACGACGCAACTCTTTTCCCAGCTTCTCCATTTCCTGCTCCTCTCAATCTCAATCTCAACCCCAATCCCAACCCGAACCCGAACCCCTTCGCCAGCGTCCTCCCTACATCCCCAACCACATCCCTGACCCCTCCTATGTCCGCATCTTCGACACCACTCTCCGTGACGGCGAACAGTCCCCGGGAGCCTCCATGACTTCCAAGGAAAAACTTGACATTGCTCGCCAGCTTGCCAAACTCGGTGTAGACATTATCGAGGCTGGATTTCCCGCAGCATCTATAGACGACTTCGAAGCTGTCAAAATGATTGCCACTGAAGTCGGAAACGCTGTAGATGAAAACGGTTATGTCCCTGTCATTTGTGGTCTCTCCAGATGTAATGAGAAGGATATTCAAAGGGCCTGGGATGCAGTTAAACATGCAAAGAGACCAAGGATTCACACTTTCATTGCTACCAGCTCTATTCATATGGAGTATAAACTTAGAATGACCAGAGAACAGGTCATCCAAAAAGCTCGCAGTATGGTTGCTTTCGCCCGTAGTTTAGGCTGTCAAGATGTCGAGTTCAGTCCCGAAGATGCTGGAAGGTATTCACTAATCTATCATTCATTTAATTTGAACTCTTGTACTGTTTTTGTTGTTGCTGTTGTTTATAATATGATGATCCCAGGTCGGATAGGGAATTTCTATATCAAATTCTTGGAGAGGTTATTAAGGCAGGGGCTACTACACTCAACATACCTGACACGGTTGGAATAACCATGCCAAGTGAATTCGGGAAACTGATTGCTGATATAAAAGCGAATACACCCGGAGTTGAGAATGTTATTATCTCCACTCACTGTCAGAATGATCTTGGACTTTCTACTGCCAACACCATCGAGGTCGGTGTTCCTGTTCTTGTCTTTTTAGTCTTCTTCTATACTTTGCATTTGTAGCTGGATTCTGAACTTTTGTATGCTCTTGATTGTGGCTGCTTTCAGGGTGCACGAGCGGGTGCTAGGCAGCTGGAAGTCACCATTAATGGGATTGGTGAAAGGGCTGGAAATGCCTCCTTGGAAGAGGTGAGGGTTAATCTTCTATTTATTTCGTTGACGTAGTAACATTATTGCTTGTTTGTATTTGGAAACTCATTTTTTATTTTGCTTTCTTTTAAGGTTGTGATGGCCCTGAAATGCGGAGGACACATCTTCAACAATCTCCACACTGGAATCAATACAAGGCACATTTATTTGACAAGCAGAATGGTTTCGTATCTCCAGTTATCTTTCCGTTGTTTCTTCCCCCCCTTTAAAGACAGTTGTTGATTGTTTGTTTTGTGTTCATATTTTCCTATAGGTTGAAGAGTACTCTGGTTTGCAGTTACAACCACACAAGGCTCTTGTGGGAGCTAATGCTTTTGCTCATGAAAGTGGCATACATCAGGTTTTTTATTATGATAACTACATATATCTGAGTATACTTTAGATGGTTGGACAAACCTTGCAACTTAGATTTGTATGCTTCTGAACTTGAAAATGTTTTCGCTAGCAACTGTCTGCAGCATTTCCTCCAACTCATATATGTTACTGAAAAGGTTACATGTCATAGCATTTTGGCATAAGGTTCCACCCTTGTGAACTAGTGACCACTGATTGTATATAAGAAAACGTCCTATCTGATTATGTGTGTAATGTTTGAAGACGTCTAACACCCTTCAAATCCACAATGGCGGGAGCCTCATGCACCAGGCTACCCCAGTTCCTCTTTGTTTTCCCCCCTAAATTGCTGCTGCACATGAATATATAGTGTGTGATTTATAGTGTGAATTTTTAAGTTTTAGAACAAATCTTAGAAGAAATAAATTTTCTTTGTATGCGGCAATATAGTCCTGGTTTAAAATCAAATAAGGTATTCCATGGAATGTTTATCCCATTGTACGAGCTGAAACTTATTCTTGCAACATAGAAAGATACGTATGATAAAAGAAAAACAATCTTTTTAAGCTTCTTTTGAACATTCCTTATGAGATTTAACCCAGACCTACATTAGTGTTTTTTTAATTCCTTTTATACATTTACACATACACACATGAAAATATGAAAATACCCTGATGAATATAATTGGAGATAAATTGACTGACCATATATCTCACATCAAACACCAATAGAAAACAATTTTTTTTGGGTACCATGTACCAAATTTTATGACAAGATTTTAGCTTTATCAGTATCGCATATTGTGGTAGCTATGTCATTTTTAAAGGGTTTAAGCAAAATAATGAGGGATCTCTGGTAACTTTATTCCCATGAGTGCCAAGGCTCAAAGACGTGAGCCCTACATGATTATGTTCTATGTCTCCTGTTTCTCTGCTCAACCAGTCAGAAAGACATTGTTATTCTCCCCTCTCCCTCTATCTGTTTTCAATTTTCACCGATAACAAATGCAGTGTTAGTGCTGTTATTCGAACCAGAACTAACTAATAGTTCACCACTGTGTTGTAGGATGGAATGCTTAAACACAAAGGTACATATGAAATCATATCTCCAGAGGATATTGGGCTTGAAAGAACCAATGAAGCTGGTATTGTATTGGGGAAACTTAGGTATGTTATTTATTTTATTTATGGAACACTTATATTTGCATGGATCTTGGACACGCTTTTTGTTTCTAACTGTTCAAAACTTATCTTCTCCTAAATTATGTATTATATAGATATGTGGTTGTAATGTTTGCAATTACCATGACACAGTGAACCAAGTTGAATTGATTAAATTTAATTTAATTAAATCAATTTTACCATAACTAAAATTTTATAGAAACATGGTAGTGAAAGCCTATGGGGTTACTTCTGTAAATACATAACCAACACCGACATCGTCTTTACATTGGATGGTTGTTTAGCTTTTCTGCAATGGATAGTGCAATTGATATGACTGTTGTTTAACTTTGTCCTCCAAACAAAAACTTGTGCTCCTAATGATGCAGCGGACGCCATGCTCTGAGAAAGCGACTTGAAGAGGTATACATACATTTTTATTGTGGCTAAATGTCTTTTGAATGGTTTCTTCAGTTTTATGAGTTACTCTCTGTTGTTTCAGCTTGGATACGAACTTAAAGAGGACCAAGTCGAGAGTTTGTTTTGGCGTTTCAAAGCTGTGGCTGAGCAAAAGAAGGTATATCAGAACTGATGATTTTATCCTGTTCCATTTCATTGACTCAGTCAAATAATTGGGTTTGTTCTGCTAACTTGCTTTTGTTTTGTATATCAGAGGATTACTGATGCTGATCTCAGAGCATTGGTATCAGATGAAGTTTTTCAGGCAGAGCCTATCTGGAAGCTTGCTGATATACAGGTAAGTTTGAAATATTCTTTGAAATTTGATACAATGAAAGAAAGCTATGGCACAGCTGTGGGAGTTACGGCTAAGTGATTATATGGTCATGATTTTAAAACAAGGAATCAGTCTGTTGCGAAGTAAGACTGTTTACAATAGACATGCATTGGGTATGCCTCTTCCTTGGATCTTGGCATGACCAGAACTTTGTAGCTCAAAGTTTCCCTTTTATGAAATTTGATATAACTGCTGTGATAATAGTATATATATGCTAATTGTTAGTTGTCTGTCGAAACTGTTGGTGAGAGGGTTTGTTTGTTAGTTAGTTTAGTTTGGTTGAGATAGTTAGAAGAAATCAACCATGAAGCGTATAAATAGGTGGGGGGATGAGAGGGAGAGGAGATCTAGTCATTCTGAGATGATAAACAAACTCTCAAAGTTGTGCGGTGTATTGTCGTTATCAAAGGAATTTTTCCTATATTTTGTAACATGAGACCAGGTTCATATCACTAATCAATATCTATCCAGTTCAGGTGACTTGTGGAACTCTTGGTCTCTCAACAGCGACGGTCAAACTTGTTGGCGATGACGGTAGCGCGCACGTTGCTTGTTCTGTTGGTACTGGACCTGTGGATTCAGCATACAAAGCTATTGATCTGATTGTGAAGGTTTGAAGCCTTATATATTCATTGTTGCTATTAACTTATTGATTCCTTTTGGTTTTGATAGCATAATCAGTATGTATAAGTATAAGTATTTTTCTTGCCCATATAAGTATTGCTTCCTCATTGCAAACTAATGGTATTTGAAGACTCGCATTTTAACATTCAAGATAGTTATGGTATTTTTACCTTGTCCTGGGATCATGGTTTCCACCTAAAAAATGAACATTGTTTAAAGGCCATTTTTAAACTTTAGGTTGTAAATCATTGTCAATCTAGCCCCTTTCTTTAGCATATCTGATTTATTTCTATATTGAATCAGATTGTTAGTAAATATTTTCAATTTTATTACTCTCAATCATCTTTCTCTCTTTTCCTTCTTCCGTAACCTCGACTGTAAATCTCATGTTTCATGTAATTGAATTACGTTGAAATTGTTGGCATTATTAATATGATGGAGTAACTTTCTACCCCTAATTTATATACAGGAACCAGCAACTCTTCTTGAGTACTCCATGGTCGCAGTTACTGAAGGCATTGATGCAATTGCCACTACCCGAGTTTTAATTCGGGGGGACAGCAATCAGACAGCTACTCACGCGTTAACTGGAGAAAGTGTTCAGCGAACTTTTAGGTACGGAGAATACTGAAGTGGATTACTGCAATGTATCTTGTTGCTAACTAACAATCACACACACAATGTTTTTTTGTTTATAGTGGGACGGGCGCAGGAATGGATGTTGTTGTTTCCAGTGTGAAGGCTTATATTGGTGCAATAAACAAGATGCTGAGCTTCAAGGAAACACCATCTGCTGAAAAAATCCCTGTCAATGCATCAAATGTTTCATAATTTGTGTTATTAGTACTCGTTATTTATTGATATCCTGGTGAATTTTGCAATGAATGTAATGTAATTTTATAGTGTTTGGTTACTTTTTAGAAGCTCTAAGGCTTAGCTTCACATCAATGTGGTTTGTTAATGTGATTTAAGTCAATGGGATTCAGTTCCCAACACATACTAAATTAATGTGCTTTAGTGATGTGCCGAATGATGGAGTGTTTGTTTTGGAAAATGCTTGTTGGTACTGTTGAACAAGTAAAGAATACAATGAACTCAAACTTTATGATATTGCAAACTTTACTCGATAATGAAAACAAAAAATCAAAAAATTGAAGTTGTATAAGTAGCCTTACATAAAACTAAGACTCCTAATTTTCAGCCCACTATCCTAAAGAATAGGATTTACTTAAACTATTCTTTTTGACTAGGAATTTATTAACTGTCTAAAATTCAAATACTAATTAAAACAAATATTAATATTCTAACAATTCCTCCCCTAAACTAAGCATGTATATTGCATTTTAGTTTAATCTTCTACTGCTTGTATTCCCAACTGCCTTCAAATTTTCTCAAATTGGTCTAACTTTAATGATTTGGTCAGTTGATTATTTATTCTATAGAACTCCATATTAACAGCTCTATCCTTAGTTAGATTTCTCAGAAAATGAAATCTCACGTCTATGTGTTTACTTCTTCCATGAAAAATTGGATTTTTGGCAAGGTTAATGGTAGAAGAATTGTTGCAAAACATTGTAACACAATCAAATTGAGAACTTTTAATTTGTTTTAGAATGTGTTGCATCCAAATACACTGGCAAGCACATGATGCAGTTGCTACGTATTCGGCCTCAGTTTTAGAAAGAGTAACTATTGGCTGCTTCTTGGATGCCCATGCAACAACTCCACCACTTAACATAAATACATAGTCTGAGGTACTTTTTCGGTCATCTATATCACCAGAGTAATCGTTGTCCGTGTAAGCTACTAACTTGTCCTTGCACTCTTTCTAGTAGAAGATGCTTAGATCAATCGTTGACTTAATATACCTTAAAATTCTTTTGACTGCAAGCATGTGTACTTCCTTTGGATTTGACATGAACCTACTAATAAGACACACACAATACGTTAAGTCAGGCCTGGTTACTGTCATATACATCAAACTCTCCACCATCTGCTTGAAAAGAGTTTCATCAACTTATTTTCCTTTTCTTCTCTAGACAACTTAATACTTTCAAGGACCATGTTTTTTACTCCATTACAATTTCCCATGCCGAATCTCTCGAGAACTTCTGCATATTTCTTCTGACTTATGTGTATTCCTCTCGCATTTTGACGCACTTCAACTCCTAGGAAGTACTTCATTTCGCCTAGATCAGTCATCTTAAATTCTCTTTTCATAGAATTTTTGAATCCTTGCATCATGATCAGATCATTACCAGTAAAAATAAGATCATCAACATACAGACTTACAATCAATATTTTCTCTTTTTCTTCTTTGACGAACAAAGTGTATTCATAGCAGCTCATTTTGAAACCTTCATTGAGGAAGTAGCTCTCGATCTTACTGAACCATGCTCTTGGAGCCTGCTTCAACCTATAAAGTGCCTTTTTCAGTTTGTAAACTTTGCTTTCCTCCCCTTTTACTTCATATCCTTGCGGTTGTGATACATATACATTCTCATGCAGCTCTCTGTGCAAAAATGCACTTTTGACATCCAATTGATAGAGTTTTCAGCCATTTCTTGTTGCTATAACTATCACCATTCGGATGGTATCTCATCTTGCAACCGGGGCAAAAATTTCATCGTAGTCTTCACCTTTCTTCTGTGCATAACCCTTGGCCACCAAGCGAGCTTTGCACTTGATAACTTCACCGTTTTCATCCAACTTTGTTCTGTAGATCCACTTTACACCTATTATTTTTGCTTCTGAGGGAGGTTAAACTAGCTCTCAGGTTTGGTTCTTTTTTATTGTTGCTATTTCCATGTCCGTGGCATCTCTTCAATTTTTCTCTTTCACTGCTTCTTCATAATAAATTGGATCAGTAGACATAAACATATGAAATTTTGTGCCTCATCTTCTGAAAATTCACCTCCACTTGTATAGTCTTGAAGGTAGATTGGAGTTTTTCTTGTTCTCTTCGCTAAGGTTGGTGAAGTTGTCGCTTCATTTGAAGAGGAATCCTCAGTTTCTAAGTGTTCTTCTTCTGATTCACTCGTAGTATTTTTATCTTCATGTTCATCTAATTCCTCAAATGCTTCCTCATAGGCTTCACCCCAATTAAGTACATCAATTTTTGATTTTGCATCTGGCCTCCCCCAATTCCAACAACCATCTTCCTCAAATATTACATCTTGGTTGATTGTTATCTTCATAGTTAAATGATTTATCATTTTGTATTCTTTTGATTTCTCGTTGTATCCAATGAATACCTACTTTTGGCTTCTAGCCTCAAGTTTAAGTCTTCTTACTTCTGGTACATGAACATTTCCTACACATCCGAACACTTTAAAATGTTCGACGCTGGGCTTGAAACCACTCCAACACTCTTCTGGCGTCTTGTCTTTTACAGCAGATGCGGGGCTTCTGTTGAGCACATGGCATGACCATTTTGCGGCTTCTAGCCAAAACATTTTGGGCAATCTCTTCTCTTCCAATATGCAGCGTACCATATTCATAATTGTGCAATACTTGCGCTCAGCGACTCCGTTTTGTTGAGGTGTATAAGCTGTTGTCAATTGTCGCTTGATTCCTTGAGCTTTACAAAAGTTTAAAAATTCATTTGAATTGAATTCTCCTACTCTATATGTTCTTAAACAACATACTGCCAAACTAGTTTCCGTGTCTGCCATGGTTTTAAATTCTTTGAAAATAGTGAAGGCTTCACTTTTCTCATTTAGAAAGTAAACCCAAAGTTTTCGACTGAAATCATCAATGAATGTCAGTATGTACCTTTTGTTTCCATGTGATTCAGGAGAGATTGGACCGCATATATCAGAATGAATAATTTGCAGTTGTTGTTTGGCTCTCCAGATGCTTTTCTTAGGAATAACTTCTCGATGTTGTTTTCCGACCATGCAGCTTATACATATTTTTGATGAAGTATTCAATTTTGGAAGCCCTCGAACCAATTTCTTGTTATGCAACAAAGCCAAATTTTTATAGCTCAGATGACCAAACCTTTTATGTCATATTTCACCAAGGTTATCAACATTTGCTTTGAAGCATGTAGACGTTGATATAAGAATGTTTGTTGTCACAAGGAACATTTTGTTGGTGGTCATCATGCTTTCCATAATGCAACCTCTATTCAGATGATATAGCTTGCAAACTCCATGTTTAATTACAATTGTGATGTCTCGATCTTGGAGCTGCCCAATACTCAGTAAATTGTTGCATAATTCAGGAATAAAAAATACGTCGCTTACAATTTGAGTGCTTCCTCCGAACTCCAATATGATGTTTCCCTTTCCTATTACTTCTAGCTTTGAGTTATTTCCGAGCTTAACTGAGTTCCAGAAGCTTTCATCCAACTTTACGAACCATTCCTTGTTTCTAGACATATGATTTGAACAACAGGAATCAAGAAACCATACTCCCTCTTTCTTGTTTTGATGAGAATCTGCTTGTGCCATCAGCAACATCTCTTCGTCTTCGTTAAACTCAGCATAATTCACTCTTTTTTCCCATGTTGGACACTCATACTGATAGTGTCCTAAATTATGACACTTGTAGTATTCCACAACAATCCTACTTGTAAAAGATTTGCCTCTACTTCTTCCTCGGCCTCTCATTATGCCTCTGCCTCTGCCTCTTTCGTAACGCTCTTCGTGTGTCACCTTCAATGTCTGCTCCTCCTCATTTGAACTCTTCATTCTTTGCTCATGGGTAAGGAGGCTGCTTTGGAGTTCATCAACTGTTAGAGTTTCCACATTGTTAGACTCCTCAATGGAGCACACAACGTAGTTGAATTTTGTCACAAGAGACCTCAAATTTTTTGACGTAATATCGTTTTCTTTCACATTCTCTCTACAAGCTTTCATCCACTTTACTATGGAAAGAGCTCGTCCAAAGTATGCATTGACAGATTCTCCCTCTTTCATCTTCAGTACCTCGAGCTCAGTCTTCAAATTTTGAAACTGAGTTCTCTTCACTCTAGTTGAACCTTTGAACTTTTGCTTCATCGAGTCCCATATCTGCTTTGAGGTGTCATCATTTAGTATTGTCTCCAGAATTTCTCTGTCAATGGCTTGATAGAGATAATTCTTCACCTTTCTATCCTTCAGCTTCTATTCTGCAATTGTTTTTGTCTCCTCATCAGTGGGCTCTCAGTTTTGTGGACCAACAACCACTCTATCCTCGACCTAGTTCCACATCTTTTTAGATCTGAGGAAGTTCTCCACCAGCTTTGCCCAATGCTCATAGAAGCCATCAAATTTGGGAATAGCTGGTTGCACAAATTTGCTACTACTGCTGCTATCAGTGATTCTCACGAATTTCTTTAAATTCTCTATCTTTCTCTGATCAGGCCTCTTTAATGAGACTCTGATACCAATTGTTGAACAAGTAAAGAATACAATAAACTCAAACTTTATGATATTGCAAACTTTACTCGATGATGAAAATAGAAAATTGAGGCTGTATAAGTAGCCTTACATAAAACTGTCTAAAACTGAGACTATTAATTTTCAGTCCACTATGCTAAAGAATAGGACTTACTTAAACTACTCCTTTTGACTAGGAATTTATTAACTGACTAAAATTCAAATACTAATTAAAACAGGTATTAATATTCCAATAGTTACGATAATCATCGAGCACGAATGTAATTGAATTGATAATAATCATTTGGTGAAGCGTTTTCCTATTTTTACTCGTGTCGTCGGTGAATGTGTTGTGATATACTATATCACTTTTTTGTTTTTCCATTTCTCTTTTATGTAACAAAATCATGGTCATATAGGATATGGCGGAGTCTACAATGTGTAATGCCATGACTCATATGGAAT